TCAGTACTGGGCAGAACGCAGGTAGTTCTCAATTTATGACCCTAATGGAGCCTGGAATTTCCATTAGGTCATTAGAAGAACCAATTTTATGACTTTTTTGCAGCAGTCATTAAACAAATGATGATCATTTAGTGAATGTATTATTCCTATGGGTGTTTTTTTTTGTTTTGTTTTTTTGTTTTTTTTTTTTTGCTGGAAACTAGGTGAAAAGGATGGAAACTATCAAAAAATATTGTAAATTGCTACAACAGGCCATAATGGTGAACCAGTTGCTAAGACCCTGAAATGATGTCATGTGACTGTAGGTGCTCCCCCCCTTTGTGTGTGTGTGTGTGTGTGTGTGTAACTCCAGAACCAGATTATAAGCAGCTTTTGGGGAAGGGGGTCCATCATAACTTTGAACAGTTGTTAAGTGACCAGCCGTTAAATGAGGACTATCTGCTAACATCATTAGCGGGACCTTAACGGAGAATAGATTTATTATTTAAGCTTCTCATTTTTCCCCCTTTATACTGATTTTATTTTAAAACTATATCAAACATTGCAAGTGGATTACTAATGTTAAAAAGGGAAAAATGGAAATCCATTAGAAAAGGCTTTTTGTATGCCATGATGGGATTTATTAGATAATTGCAATGAAATAACCATATGGGAAGTTCAGTTGACACTTTTAAGAGAATTTGGCTTTGTAAGTTAATTTATAACATAACATAACATCCATATCATAATAAATTAAATCTTGTTCATTTCTTGATACATGCTTGGAAATCATGGGGAAAAACTCCCACATTGGTTTCTTTGCAGAATCATGATTCACAATATATTCTGCATTTTAAAAAAATGTATGAGAACAAAATTTGAAATGAAAAATATGCCACAAGTGACGCTACGGCCTTGTCAGAATATTAGCAATTTCAGGGTGCAAGACTGTTATGCTTCTTTTATTTTATATATATTTTCCTACCTTTCCTCCAAGATAGAAACATAGAAAATTGATGGCAAAAAAAAAAAAGACTGCTTTTTGAGTTTGTTTTTTGTTTTCTTTTTAATTTATTTATTCATTATTTTTATATTTTATTGATTTTTATTTTATTTTTTAATTTTTGTCGGATGATGGACTGTGTGTTTATCCCAAGCATGTTTAAACTCAGTTAACGAGAACTGACCCACTATCTCTGCTGGACGATGGTTCCAAGCTTCCACTACTCTTTTGGTGAAGTAATATTTTCTAACATTACTTTTGAACTTTCTTCCTGTCAGTTTGAGATTATTTTAGATTCACAACAATTTTTGGCTAAGTTCACACATCCTCTTGTTTTGTTTAATTTTGAATTGGTGTGATGTGTGAAGTTAGGCAACAGTGAAATAGTCAGCAAACCATGGTTTAAATTACTGTATTGTAATATTCTGTAGTATAATGTGCAAATCCAGGCTGGAAGATATTTAATAGTTGTTTGAATACTAGCAACCTTGTTAATGATTTTGGATCTGAATCTAAATCTCCATAATCTGGTTTGTACTGTTTATACTGCCCTGTCACTCAGTATTAAATATTGTAACATTTCATTGTACTGTAATGATTGTTAGGAAAAGGAACCAAAATTTGTATCGATACAATATCTGTCTTCAAACGAGCACCTGGAAATGTTTGTGTAGAACTGGATTTAACTAATTTTAGATGGGCCAATCATCTTTCCAAGATAACTAGGATATCAAAGTCTGACACTTCTCCTTCTCTTGTTTATCTATATAAACTGCTGGATGAGGTCTCCACGGGTTCAGGGTTTGATAGCATCAGTATGCTAATGATACCCAGCTTTACATCTCTATCCCGGATACACAAATTAAGCTGTCAAGTTGCTGGTGCAGTATCTATTTGAGTCAGGATGGGAAAGAAGAGATTGTGGCTCAATCCTGACACGACTGAGTTATGTGCAACCTGGGGTCCTCCTGGGCTCACCACTGCTGCTTGGAGAGCAGGTGGCAGCTGCGGTCAGGAGGACTTTTGCATAGCTACATTTTGTGCACAGTATGTTTGTTTATTTATAGATTTAATTTATATGGCCAATCGATTCATACTACTGTGAGTGGCCAATAACAATCAGGAGAGAGAGAATAAATGTGTGTGTGTGTGTGTGTGTGTGTGTGTGTGTGTGTGTGTGAGAGAGAGAGAGAGAGAGAGAGAGAAGATGGATAGAAGATAGATATAGAGATAGAAGATATAGTAGATAGATAGATAGATAGATAGATAGATAGATAGATAGAAGATAGAGATAGATAGAAGATAGAGATAGAAGATAGAAAATAGATAGATATAGATAAATAGATGAAATAGAAGATAGATAGATAGATAGATAGATAGATAGATAGATAGATAGATAGATAGATAGATAGATAGTTGTTTTCTGAGGTTACCCGAATAACCAAAGACCTACATAGATAGATAGATAGATAGATAGATAGATAGATAGATAGACAGACAGACAGACAGACAGACAGACAGACAGACAGACAGACAGATAGATATAGATCAGTGGTTCTCAACCTGTGGTTCAGGACCCTATTTGGGGTCGAACGACCATTTCACGGGGGTCGCCAAACAACGCAGTCTGCCATTTTTTTCCCCTTTTCCTTAGCTGTGCTACTTCCTTTTATTCTATTGGCTTTCGAAAGCCAATAGAATAGACTCTCTTGAATAGAGTCTAATTCTATTGGCTTTCAAAAGCCAATAGGAATTGTCCAGGCTGTCTCTGCCCTGTTGAGCCTGCCAAAAGTCCCATTCTGCAAACGGTGCTGCACCAGTTGAGTAGTCCTCGACTTACGACCGTTTGAGTAGTCCTCGACTTACGACCGGTTGGGGGTTGCGGCATTAAAAAGGTTGAGAACCACTGATATAGATAGATTCACTTGACAACTGTGTTATTAACAACTGCAGTGGTTCACTTAACAACTGTGGCAAGAAAAGTCATAAAATGGGACAAAATTCATTTAACAACTGTTTCGCTTAGCAACAAAAATGTTGGGCTCAATTGTGGTCATAAGTTGAGGACTACCTGTACTATTAATGGGGTCTGAAATAAAACTGAAAGTGGCCAAATAATCTTGTTTCCTGCAGAGCTTTCTCAACTTGTAGCCCAACAACCTTCTCAACAATCTTCCTAAAAAGGAAAGGTTGCAGACAAGACAAAAATGATTTGATTTGATCCTTGAAAGCATCTCCTTAAATAATTTAAAGTCTCTGAAACAATTTCATCATTTTTTTCACATTTTGGAGCATAAAAGTTCATTGTCTTGGACAAAGAATAAAGTTCACTAGGGATGTACTAATCAGCTAATCAGAAGATTGCCCATCAGATCAATTAACATTAACTTGTGATGCCTGCAATTTTGTTGCCAATGTTAGGAATTGGTCAAGTATTAGTCATTGATGATGTTTATGAGCTGTCTTGTTAAGCAGAACTTCATTTCAGGGAATTTGTGTGATCTTGTTGCCAACAGATATGTATCATGTATGATAAGAAGGTGTTGATTTAAAAAAATTCCAGTGAGTTGCAGTTGCTTAGGGAATAGCACACATGATGCTTGTAACCTTGTTCCTGTTGTTTACTTCCCTTAAGTACTTTAATAGTTCATGATAAAACTATTATTATAACTATTGTTATTATTATTTCAATATCTAGTAGCTTTTTCAATATCTAGTAGCTATCATGAAATAATAATAATTAAAAATTAATAATAATAATAATAAAGTTGGAAGGGATCTTGGAGGTCATCTAGTCCAACCCCCTGCTCAGACAGCAAACCCTATACCATTTCAGACAAATGGCTGTCCAGTCTCTTCTTAAAAACTTCCAGTGTTGGAGCATTCACAATTTCTGGAGGCAGGTTGTTCCACTGCTTAATTGTTCTAACTGTCAGGAAGTTTCTCCTTAGTTCTAGGTTGCTTCTTTCTTTGATTAGTTTCCACCCGTTGCTTCTCGTCCTGCCCTCAGGCGCTTTGGAGAATAGCTTGACTCCCTCTTCTTTGTGGCAGCCCCTGAGATATTGGAACACTGCTATCATGTCCCCCCTCTTCCTTCTCTTCATTAAACTAGACATACCCAATTCCAGCAGCCGTTCCTTATATGCTTTAGCCTCCACTCCCCTAATCATCTTTGTTGCTCTTCTCTGTACTCTTTCTAGAGTCTCAACATCTTTTTTACATCGTGGTGACCAAAACTGGATGCAGTATTCCAAGTGTGGCCTTACCAAGGCATTGAAGAGTGGTATTAATACTTCACGTGATCTTGATTCTATCCCTCTGTTAATGCAGCCTAGCACTGTGTTGGCCTTTTTGGCAGCTGCAGCACACTGCTGGCTCATATTTAAGTGATTGTCCACTAGGACTCCGAGATCCCTCTCACAGTTACTACTATTGAGCAAGGTACTATCTAGTAGCTTTTCCAAAAGGAAGAATACTCTGAGAAAAGTTTTAGTCTTGTATTCACCATACTCTACTCCAATTCAGATAATCCTCAACTTATAATCATTCCTTTAGCAACTGTTCGAAGTTACAGTGGCACTGAAAAATCACAACTGGTTCTCAGACTTATGATCCCCATTGTCATATGATCAAAATTCAGGCACTTGGCAACCATGTGTTTCATCAAGGCTGCAGTGTCCCCAGGCAATGTGATCACCATTTGTGACTTTCCCAGCCAGCTTCTGGCAAGCAACATCAATGGGGGAAGCCAACTTTGCCTAACAACTGTGGGATTCAATTAACAACTGCAGTGATACACTTCACTGTCGCAAAAAGGTCCTAAAATTGTGCGTGACTCCCTTAGCAACCACCTTGCTTAGTAACAGAAATTCTAGCCCCAATTGTGCTTCTAATTTGAGTGGAGAAGAGGGACATAAAATGAAGGAGGCTGCCTGTATCTCACACAGCCCAAATGAATACATGCCTTCTGGGTTGTGCATTTGGTGGGGGACTAATCATGTCTTTTTTTTTTTTAAAGGAAAACCCTTCAAAGCACATATTCTCCAAGCATGATAACCGACAAGCCTTCCCAGGATCAGCTACCTATTTTGAGCATGTGAGTATATTACAGGGAAAGAGAAGGGGGAAGATTCTAGGTATCATGTTTGTCAATAGAATAGAATAGAATAGAATAGAAGAATAATAGAATAGAAGAAGAATAGAATAGAATAGAATAGAATAGAATAGAATAGAATAGAATAGAATAGAATAGGAGCTGGAAGGGACCTTGGAGGTCTTCTAGTACAACCCCCTCAAGCAGGAGAACCTATACCATTTCAGACAGGTGATCATCTAGTCTCTTCTTTAAAATCCCTAGTGATGGAGCGCCCATGATTTCCGGGGGTAAGCTGTTCCACTGGTTGATTGTCCTCACTGTCAGGAAGTTTCTCCTTAATTTTAGGTTGCTTCTCTCTTTGATCAGTTTCCAACCATTGTTTCTCGTCCTTCCCTCTGGTGCTTTGGTGAACGTGACTCCCTCTGCCTTGTGGCAGCCCCTCAGATATCATGTCTCCTCTATTTCTTCTTTTCTTTAGACTAGACAAACCCAAATCCTGCAGCTGTTCTTCGTATGCTTTAGCCTCCAGCCTTTGAATTTTGCTCTTCTCTGATTTTTTTCCAAACTCTCTAACCTTTTTTGTGATATGGTGACCAAAATTGGCTGCAGTATTCCGGGTGTGGTCTCACTAGGGCTTTGTAAAGCGGTACTAATACTTCGCGTGATCTTGATTCTATGCCTCTTGTTTATACAACCCAGGATTGTATTAGCTTTTTTGGTTGTTGCTGCACACTGCTGGCTCCTAGTAACAAGAGGAAGCAGTACATTTAGTGCTTGGTTATTTCTCAAAAATTCCCCTTGTCACTAAATTTCCTTCAGCAACGTCTTGGGTTCTCTCAGGAACTGCTATCACCAGTGGGAAGTCTTTGTAAAAGCAGCAGCTGAGCTATGTACCTAAGTCTCTTAATTGCTTACAGTTTCAAATCTCCTCCCCCCATTGGGTCAGAAATCAGTAGCTTTGGGGCCAGGATGCTAACAGAACACACTCTATGTGTTTTCCTCTGGGTTGGCTAAAAATATAGGTAGTCCTTGACTTACGACCATAATTAAGCCCAAAATTTCTGTTGCTAAGCAAGACATTTATTTGTTAAGGGAGTTTTGCCCCATTTTACATCTTCTCTTGCCACAATTGTTAAGTGAATCATTGCCATTGTTCAGTTAGTAACACGGTTGTTAAGTGAATCTGGCTTGACCCTTGACTTTGCTTATCGGAAGGTCGCAAGAGGGGACCATGAGACGCTGAGTCAGCTGCCAAGCACCCGAATTTTAATCACGTGACCATGAGGATACTGCAACTGTCCTAAGTGTGAAAAACGGTTATAAGCCACTTTTTTCGCTGCCTTTGTAACTTAGGTCACTCAATGAGCCGTTGTAAGTTGAGGATTACCCATGGTTGCCCACCCGTTGTAGAGGCTCTTTTTGACGGTCTCCACAACTTGCTTGATCTTCAGCTTTGGTAACTGGAATTGGGTATCAATTAACCAGTGGAACAACCTGCCTCCAGAAGTGGTGAATGCTCCAACACTGGAAGTTTTTAAGAAGAGACTGGACAGCTATTTGTCCGAAATGGTTTAGGGTTTCCTGCCTGAGCAGGGGGTTGGGCTAGATGACCTCCAAGGTCCCTTCCAACTTCATGTATTATTATTGTTGTTGTTTGTTGTTATATTATTAGTACTTCTACTACTACTACTTGTATCCTTTTTTTAACTTTTGGGTTAAACCAGTGGTTCTCAACCTTTTTAATGCCGCAACCCCCAACCGGTCGTAAGTCGAGGACTACTCAAACGGTTGTAAGTCGAGGACTACTCAACTGGTGCAGCACCGTTTGCAGAATGGGACTTTTGGCGGGCTCAGCAGGGCAGAGACAGCCTGGACAATTCCTATTGGCTTCTGAAAGCCAACAGAATTAGACTCTATTCAAGAGAGTCTATTCTATTGGCTTTCAAAAGCCAATAGAATAAAAGGGAGTAGCACAGCTAAGGAAAAGGGGGGAAAAATGGCGGACTGCGTTGTTTGGCGACCCCCGTGAAATGGTCGTTCGACCCCAAATGGGGTCCCGACCCACAGGTTGAGAACCACTGGATTAAACTGATTGGGCGTCGCCTTTCAGCACTGCAGGTCTGAACAGATTCTCCTTGTTTCGTGGCAGGGTTTAGGGAGAAGGAGAATAGAAGGGAGCCTTCCCAATACCCGGAACCTGATCGACTGGATCCCCTTGAAGGAGGAATTAGAACGCGATAGGCCCCTTTTCACAAGTTATCAGTGTGATTTCCACTCCAAAGGGAAGCTTCCCCAGCTCTTAATCCAGCACCAGTTGCAAGGGCAACTCCTCCAACGCATACCCAGCACCACCTACCAACATACCTACCACAGCTACTGTTTGTCTCAGCCCAACCCAAGCCTACTCCAGGAGCAGCAGTTGGCCCAGGATCCCAAATCTACTGTTCCTGCCTCCTGCGAGCCTAGCACTCTTGCCGCCAATGATCTTCCAGCTCCTGCCTCCAGCGAGGCCACGGCAGCAGACCACACGACAGCTGCAGAAGCTGTTGTTCCAGCACCTGCTTCTAAGCGCTCTGAGTTTCTTCTTCCACCCCGACTGACAGTTTACGACTGTTTGCACTGGCATAATTGTTGATCAAACATGGGATAGTTCCATATTCATTTGACTTGAGGAAAACGAGATGCTCTTTTGTAAATGCTAAAAGTGAGAGAAAAAATAAATAAAATCTTGCTGGCGTGCCAAGTATTTGCCACAGTGGAGGATATTGTGTAGCTCACAGTCAGGTTCTGCCAAGGTAGAATATTTGCTATGAATGGCAACAGAAAGGATCCTATCAGTTTTATGTGTTGTGTTTTCTTAAAAAAAAAAAAAGCACACTTCCTTGGATAATTTTTCTCACAAAGGAAGTGTGCTTTTTTGTTGTTGAAAATCTTTCTGTTCAGCTTGTTGAAGTTTATTTGTAGCATGTAATGTCATCATTTTGTGTTTCAAAATAAGTAACTGAAATAAAGTTAGGGCAGGGGAACTGGTTAGGAAAGCATTTGGGAGAAGTAGCAGGCATGAAGAATGAGCATCAGTTTGTGAAAGAGGAAGCGTCTTTCTTCTAGATCTATCATTAGTGACTTCAAAAATGACTTTTTTTTTTAGATCGATCAGTAGTGACTTTTAACTTTTCACATGACAACCGAAAGATGGATAATAATCAACACTTGTTAGATTGGATTTTAACTCAGCAATGTCTTGGTTGGAAAATGTCATGTGTTCATAACTTTTGGTATGCATTAAACTTTCATAGGTCACCATTATTTTGAAGTATTGGATTATTCTTTCCTTAACAGTATAGTTTGAAATTGGAAATTAAGAAGATTCTGGGCAGCAAAATCTTGTAACTCATGCTTGTGCCATGATAGAAATATACCCAATGCCAAGATCCATATTTATAAGGTATGATTAACGGATGATATGATCTAATCTGATATGATCTAAGGCAGTGATGGCAAACCTTTTAGAGACCGAGTGCCCAAACTGCAACCCAAAACCCACTTATGCATCGTCGGGTGCCAGGTGGGTGTGGCCCATTGGGTGGGCGTGGCTGCGGTGGTAACGGCAGGCAGGGTGGGACTAAAAAGTTCAATCAATCAATTCCAACTTTGCAAGATCTTTTTTTTTCCTGTGAGAAGTTGAAATTGACTGATTGATTGAACCTTTTTTTTTTTTTTGCACACGGCGGCGGAGGCCTAAAGCAAAAAGGTTTTATAAAACCCAGCTGAAGGCCTAGGACTGGGGGACGGCGCATGTGCCCACAGAGAGGGCTCCAAATGCCGCCTCTGGCACCCGTGCCATAGGTTCGCCACCACTGATCTAAGGTTTAATGATTGCTGGTAATAAGTCCATACGCTGTTGAGTATGGATTGTGTATAGCCAAAATTGTGCTGTATTTTGAGTGTGGTATTGGGTCCAAATCCAAGTATCCTTAAAAAAGTGAAACCCAAAATGTGTACAGACATTGTCAAGGTTGGCTTCAAGTTTGAGACGGCCCTTGGTAGCCTGCTTTCTAATTTATTTATTTATTAAATTTATATGCCACCCAGCAACTCTAAAGCTTCCTGGTGGCCACATTTGCATTCTCAATCACAGGTTTCCTAAAATTCAGTTCTAGGAAGCTGTTCCATAATGCTGTACATCTTTGCACTTTCAGCATGAAGAAGTGATTTTAAGGGCCTTTGTCCTCTTGAACCTGGATAAATTACAAATGTATCTTAAGGACATCTCTTTTTCTACTGTGTCCCAGTGATGCTGCCTTTATTTCACTCCCAGCCTGCATATGAAAAAAAGCTTTAGGTTGTCATTATTCTAACAATCTCTAAAGGGCAGCCTCAAAATTATCTTGGCTCGAAGTCAAGAAATTGCAGTAACTTGACACTGTTATATACAGTAGCAGCTGGGAATAGAGGCCAGATTAGGATTGGCCATAACAGTGAGGGCGAACCTTTTAGAGACTGAGTGCCCAAACTGCAACCCAAAACCTACTTATGTATCGTCGGGTGCCGGGTGGGCGTGGCCCATTGGATGGATGTGCCCAACTGGGTGGGTGTGGCCTAAAGCGAAAAGCTTTTATAAAACCCAGCTGAAGGCCTAGGACTGGGGTGACAGCACGCGTGCCCACAGAGAGGGCTCTAAGTGCCGCCTCTGGCACTTGTGCCATAGGTTCGCCACCATGGGGCTACAGGGATAGCAAATTTCACAACAGTAGTTTTCTGCTTACTCAAGACTGGCTATCTCAGTTTACGGGAATGCCATGACTTGGACATCTTTAGAAGCCGCTCTGTAATTTGGAATTCTGCAACTACGGGATTTTAGAATGGGAGATAGCTTCGTTTGAACATCCTCCTCCAGTAACTGTGGCCTACTTCTGACCTTGCTTGAACGCTCAAAAGTCAGAACTAGAGAAAGAACACACCGAGATGGGAATCTGTGTACTTCTTCCAACTTTACAATTACATAAAAGGTAAAGGTTTCCCTTGTCCAGTCGTGTCCAACTCTAAGGGGCAGTGCTTATCTCCATTTCTTAGCCGAGAGAGCCACGCTTCAGTCGGTCATGTGGCCAGCATGACTTTACATCGAGGTTCACAGAACACTATTACCTTCCCACCAAAGTGGTATCTATTTAAATTCTCACATTTTGCATGCTTTTGAACTGGGCAGGAGCTGGGGCGAGTAACGGGAGCCCACCCCATCGGCACAATGGCTCAGTGGTTAAAGACGCTGAGCTGGTCAGCTCTCCAGCTGCCAAACAGTCTACGCTGCCAAACAGGCATGGTTACAGTGTGGATGATCACAAACCCGGGTTTGCGACCAGAGTGCTTATAATCACGTATGTTCATCTGAACACTTAAATCAAGAGGTTTTTTTTTTTTTAACTAATTGCTTCATCTTTTGATGATAGGCTGGTTTTTGGATAAAGATTAGCATGAATCTAAGTTTCAGGCCAAGCTGAACAGTTATAAAGTATCATGGGAGCTACAATCCGCCATCTAAAGGTCAGACATTGTCCCTTTCTGGTCTCTAAAGAATGCAGTTGAGCATTTAATATTGATGAAAATAGAGAGCTTGTAACACTGTGAAGACATTGCAGTGGTAATCTCTAATCCAGTGTTTCCCAAACTTGACAATTTTAAGGCATGTGGACTTCAACTCCCAGAATTCCACAGCCAGCGTTGCTGGCTGTGGAATTCTGGGAGTTGAAGTCCTCATGCCTTAAAATTGTCAAGTTTGGGAAACACTGCTCTAATCCAACATTGACTGAGGATATAACCCAACACTGAATGAGGCAATGCCGGGGGGGGGGGGGAATCCAGATTTTATTGGTGTGAGATGCTACACCACCTCCCAGGCATTGAACTAGAGGGCACCTTATGTGCTACAGGAGACACAGAGGAAGTTAGGAACATACCAGGTGGGGTGCAATGGCTACACCCAGAGTCCTAGAATCAACTCAGCTATGCAGCAAGAGAGGTATCAACACAAGGATAGCAATCACAACTTGAAGCAAAAATACCGGAGTACCTGCTCCACAGGGACAGCGCTTCCCGTTAGTCTTTCCCAGACCCAGCTGAAGAAACGCTGCTGCCTTTCCTAAATAAGAAACAATCTGCGCTACCAAATCAGGCATGGCTAGAATGTGGGTGAAGCCGTGTCCCCAAGCTTTGTGATTACTGAATTGCAAACTGATCTCCCAAACTCAACCGGTGGTTATCAGGTCACATCTTAACCCCTTTTTCATGGACGATTTAATAGCGGATGCTACGTAGGAGTCTACTAATGCAGCAGTGACAATTTTGCAGAGTAGCTGAGCCACAGAGAGGGAAGGGAAGATCTTCAAGCTAGAGAGCTTCAACAAAGCAAAATAAAAATAAAATAAAAGATTGTATCGTTGTGGTGTATTGGCTTTATATTCTATTGCAGTGGAATATAAGTTAAATAAGCCAAGGGAAGAGAGCAGAATCGAGACTTTGCTTATGGGGAGAGACAGTCGCACGGCTGCTTCAATCAGACTTCACCCAGACCAGCCCAAATTCCCAATCTGGTTCCTTTGGAAAACTAGGCGAAACAAATTGCAGCTGCACATCAAAAGAATCAGCTGCATCAGACCGACTTTTGTCGCAGCCGTCAGAGCCGCTAAACTGCTTGACCCTGGCCTCGCCTACAGAACAGACTGCTTTAGTCTCTGAGCTACTGGATGCTTTGCAGAGATGAGTTATTTGCAGAACCAGCTAGAGGAAAAGTCACCTTTGTTGCCACCTCCACGTTGGCAACAAAGCGCTTCTCACTGCTCCCTCATATGCTAATTTCTGTTGTCAATAGGCACTTGAGTCCTCTTGGCGCACACTGGCTGGGAATCCTTTCACAGTGACGTTCGATCAGACCTCTTCCTGTAAGCTCAGGGCCTCCACCGCACTGCTGGGGCCTTGAGCCACCCCTCCAATCACAAACAGCAGGTTGGGAGCCTCCAAACTAGCGGAAGAACAGCGCCCAGTAGGCATGGAGGGCAAAGTCTCCCATTTCTTCTTAGCCAGATTAAATCCTTCCGTGGATCCCAGCGGACTCGACTGGTTCCCTAGAAGAAGGAGAGAGAAAGATGCGTGAACTGAGCGGCAGTTGCCTTACCCAACTGAGACTCTGCTGGCATTTGTCTCCGGCTGCAGAGTCCCATATACTGAAGGCATCAAAATTGCACACTCTGTTAATTAAACGAGAACTGCGCTGACTGAATTCTGCCAAGCCAAATATCTCCCAGGATCTACTGCCAGGCATGTCTTGCTGTTGAAACAAAGGATTGTGGCAGGATGTGTGGTGCTTCTGAAGCTGACAGACTTCTGGAAGCTGGAAGCCTGGAGCCAAAATTAAAGCCAGAAATGGTGCAGGGATCGATCATATTGCCAACAACACCATCGGCGCTGCTTACTGTAATTCTCCATGAAAGCCAGTGAGACTGCCAAGGGATTTGGGCTGCAATATTTTCTAACTTCTGTTTCAAATCAGATCTTTTTGGATTTTATTTATTTCATATAGAGAATGCTTACATTTTATATTTAGATGTTAAGTCTGTCTGAAAAACTTTCTATATATACTCCCTTGACTCGGCTGACAAAGAGGGGAGGAGAGCCGGTGGCCTGGTGGTTAATACAACTGCCTTGCATATAGGTTGCCTAGGTTCAAATCCCATAAAGGGTGTGGCTAGCTGATGAGGGCTAATGAGCCTGAAATAGCTATAATAGTCTCTCACTTAATTTTCTAACTCTTTGTCAGCAAAAAGAAATCTGAATTTGTAATCTCTCGCAGTAGCGACTTGAGCCTGCTTAATGCCCTTAGTATGGGGGGCAGCAAGGCAAAAGTGATTATAAAAATAGAACTGCAATATAGCAGTCAAAAAATGTCAAGGTGCAATCAATCAGACCGGTCTGTCTGAAAAACTTTCTATAGCTGCAGAAAATTATACTGTTTGGTGTTATTTTCAGTGGGGCAGAAGTCACCCACAGCAGTTCCGCTATGATGCTATGATGGTAAGTTTCCACAGTTTATAGGAGATATTTTTGTGGTGGAAGTGAAGGACAAAACTTACCTATATGTCCTTCAATCTACATAAGAAGGGGGACATTGCAACAGTGGATTGGGGCAGGAAATGAGCTACAGGTTCAGGGTCAAAGGAAGACCCAGGGCTATGCATCACACGACACCCAGATGAAGTATCATTGTCAAGATCTACAAGAGTACTTAATATGCTAGTCCAGTGATGGCGAACCTTTCAAAGACTGAGTGCCCAAACTGCAACCCAAAACCCACTTATGCATCGTCGGGTGCCAGGTGGGTGTGGCTCATTGGATGGGCGTGGCTGCAGTGGTAACGGCTGGGTGGGACTAAAAAGTTCAATCAATCAATTCAACTTTGCAAGATCTTTTTTTTCCCCACAAGAAGTTGAAATTGACTAATTGATTGAACCTTTTTTTTTTTTTTTTGCGCATGGCAGTGGAGGCCTAAAGTGAAAAGGTTTTATAAAACCCAGCTGAAGGCCTAGGACTGGGGTGACGGCACGCATGCCCACAGAGAGGGCTCTGAATGCCGCCTCTGGCACCCGTGCCATAGGTTCGCCACCACTGTGCTAGTCTAACAAAGGTGCAAATGGAACTCAGTTACACTCAGGTTAAGGTGTAAAGAGGGGAGCAGAGGTGACAAGTACAGGCACTGTCCATTTCAGAGGGAAGACAGACTACAACTAATTGCTGTTTGGGCTCATCATAAGATCTGTTCACACAAAATATATTGAACGCTTTTCTCCCTGCCTTCAACTCTAAACAGGGTAGATGATACCACCACAGAGGATGGTAAAAAGACACAAAATAATATGTAGCACCGCTTTTCTGTTCAAAATAAAGTGGAATAACAGAAAATCATCACTTTGACTTAGTATAAATGGAAATTAAGTTACATCAGTTTTAGAGACTGTCCTGGTGTCACCTACTGATTGAAATATGTCTTATTGTTTCAACATAGAGTATAGAGAAAGAGCAACAAAGATGATTAGGGGACTGGAGGCTAAAACATATAAGGAATGGTTGCTAGAATTGGGTATGTCTAGTTTAACGAAGAGAAGGACAAGGGGGGACATGATAGCAGTATTCCAATATCTCAGGGGTTGCCATAAAGAAGAGGGAATTAACCTATTTTCCAAGGCACCTGAAGGCAGGACAAGAAGCAACGGGTGGAAACTAATCAAGGAGAGAAGCAACCTAGAACTAAGGAGAAACTTCCTGACAGTGAGAACAATTAACCAGTGGAACAGCCTGCCTCCAGAAGCAGTAAATGCTCCAACACTGGAAGTTTTTAAGAAGAGACTGGACAGCCATTTGTCCGAAATGGTGTAGGGTTTCCTGCCTGAGCAGGGGGTTGAACTAGATGACCTCCAAGATCCCCTCCAACTTTACTACTATTACTATTACTAAACATGTGCCTTCCTGTGTCAAATGTGGCCTTCAGCCTGAACAAACTACCCCAAATGAAGCAGATAAAGTTTTAAGAAGTCAAGGGAAATAATTTTCAATCCAATTAGTCTTACCCTTTCGCAAGAGGTATAATAAGCACAACACAGCATACCCCTGATCTAATTCCCAATATTAGATTCCCCTTCCTATAAATCCATTAAAAAAACCAAATACCACAAGGCATACTCACAGTTTGTAGGAGGCAGAAGATGTTATTTACCTGACTAGTTCTATTTATTACCTTTAAAAAGTGGCTAAAGTGCAGCAAAACACTTTGTCTTCATTTATTCTAGTTCTGAAATAGTATATAAACCCATATTTTATGTTCCTCATAAAATATGTTCTTGAGAACTCCCACCAGTTATTGTCTACATAGGAGATGGCTCTATCGCTCTATCTGCCTGCTATTCCGACAGCATCTTTGTAGCCAAGATGCTTGAGCTCAGTTCATTGGATGTGCCAAGGCTTAATCTGGAACATTTTGCCTACGCAACATGTCTCATATCAGGCAACATTCAGCACAGTATACTCCAAATCTGCTTTTCCTCACTGCTTAAATAATTCAGAAAAAATGCTGCTGGCAGAATGCCAGGAGAGACAAGATCTTCTGACTTGTGTTGAATGCAGTAAGGTTAATGGATGCTGAAGAATAGGACTAAAATGGAATGGCTAGGCCTTTGCTGCATCATATCATTGCGATGGTCAGCATTAGCAGAGGAAAAATAATGGATTTACTCCTAATCTGCTTGTTTTCCCCTGGAGCCATTTACTGCCTCTGCCCTTTGCTAGCTTTTGCTCATCAAATTTCTTAATGGTTTTCGCCAGGGGAAAAAGTTGTTAGGAAGAATGGACGGCAGAAGTGACACACAGGAGAAGGATGAAGCATCTGCTCCTGGTACTCCAAGGCCTGGTCTTTCGTCCACATTGACTAACAATATTCTTTCTTTTCAAGTGAGTTTGCATCCACAGATATTGTACCATATTTGCTGAGTGACCTAGTTTTCATCTAACTTAGCGGTTCTCAACCTGTGGGTCGCGACCCCATTTGGGGTCGAACGACCATTTCACGGGGTCGCCAAACAACGCAGTCCGCCATTTCCCCCCCCTTTTCCTTAGCTGTGCTATTCCCTTTTATTCTATTGGCTTTTGAAAGCCAATAGAATAGACTCTCTTGAATAGAGTCTAATTCTATTGGCTTTCAAAAGCCAATAGGAATTGTCCAGGCTGTTTCTGCCCTGCTGAGCCCACCAAAAGTCCCATTCTGCAAACGGTGCTGCAAGTTCTCTGCAGCGAAGGCGAGCTGTCTGGAAGTTTCCACCCCTCCCGGCTGAGCAACTACTAAAAATGTAAGTAAAAGAGGGCCAGGGGTGGGAAGTGGGAGGCCGGCGGGCGCAGGGAGGGTTGCTGGCGCCCATGGGGCCCGGCGGGTGCCTTACCTCCCTTGGGCTGGGCCAGCTGGTGTCCCAGCCGGTGGTCAGCCTGCTCCGTCTCTGCCGCTTGCCAACTACGCCTCGGCCGGCGCAGGGGGCGGCACTACGCATGCACGGCGCTCCCGGGCAGGGAAAGTCCTAGACTTACGACCGGTTGGGTAGTCCTCAACTTATGACCGGTTGGGTAGTCCTCGACTTACGACCGGTTGGGGGGTCGTGGCATTAAAAAGGTTGAGAACCACTGATCTAACTGATTCTGGCCTGGTGTTTGCTGATCTAGCTGAAAACATGTCCTTTTCTCCCCTTGCTTTGAATCTACATAAAAACACAGCCAAGCCATTTCAGGACAACTATTTATACAATTCTCTTGATTACCGGAGAAAGGCACTTGTGAAACCTCTGAACATCAAAGAAACTGGGTGAGCAAAACTGAATTAGCTTCTGGGTTCACACAGGTGTATTACTCCTCTGATTTTCAAACAACACAGCCAACACCGGAATCCATTCTTAGTTATCACCTTATGTGGCAAGCCCAGCCCCTTTCCTCTTTTGTAGAACATATCTCCAAACAAAGAAATCCAGGCACATCAGAAACAAAATCTGCCCCCCTGCACATCCAAGAATGACTTGCCCCTCTTACTCAGCCTCCACTTCATGTTAATTATATACATTTAATCCTCAATTTATTACCAGAATTGGGACCAGAATTTTCATTGCTAAGCAAGGCAGTTGTTAAATGAGTTGCACTCAATTTCATGAGCTTTTTTCCCACGGTGGATAAATATTCAGGTGTTAACTGAATCACGTGGTAGCTGGCTTCTCCCACTGACTTTGCTGGTCAGACGTTGGCTCGGAAGGTCGCAAATGGTGATCCCATGACCCCAGGATGCTGCAACTGCCATAAATACATGCTGGTTGCCAAGCTTTCAAATTCTGATCACGTGACTGTGGGGATGCTGCAACGGTTGTTAATTGTGAGGACCAGCTGTAAGTCAGTTTCTTCAGTGCTACTGTAACTAAACCAATGGTTGTAAGTTGAGGACGATTTGTACAGGAATCAACCGGAAGATACATGGGTCACATCCAAACATTCTCCTTGCTTGGTATAAAAAAGACCCTCTTACCATTTGTGTTATACTGTTACTATTAAGCATTTATTTACAGCACTGATGACGTTAGCTAGTTGGGTAATTAAATGTCTGCACGAAAACAGCCAAGCTGAAGGAGCACCAAAGACCCCTCCCCATCACTTTTTCCAGAATATGAGTCTTCATGCCATATCCTTGTATGTCAAGGATGCCCTAAGTTCAGGCAGCCAAATATGTCTTCCAGTTCTCCCTCCTGGAAGAATTTTTTTCTCTTATTCAGGCTCAAGTTGCTCCAGTTAAGCAACATGGGACACATTGCCCTACAGTATTCCAGTATTGATGAGTTAGTCTGAATTTTGCTCTTAGGGCATTATCTAACTCAGTGGTTCTCAACCTTTTTATACTGGCGACCCCGGTCATAAGCACGCGGCGCGCATGCGCGACGTGCATGCACGGTGCCGCCCCCTGCGCCGGCTGAGGCATAGCCGGCAAGGGGCGGCGGCAGGCAGGCCCGGACGCCCCCGGGCGGCCGCAGCGGCGCAGTGCGACCACCGGCTGGGCCACCAGCTGGCCCAGCCCAAGGCAAGTAAGGCACCTGCCGGGCCCCACGCGCGCCAGCAACCCTCCCTGCACCCACCAGCCTCCCATCTCCCACCCCTCTTTTACTTACTTTTTAGTTGCTCAACAGGGAGGGAAGCTCTGCAGACTGTTCCCCTTGCAGCACCGTTTGCAGACTGGGGCTTTTGGCGGGCTCAGCAGGGCAGAGACTGCCCTGGACAATTCCTATTGGCTTTTGAAAGCCAATAGAATTAGACTCTGTTCAAGAGAGTCTATTCTATTGGCTTTCGAAAGCCAATAGAATAAGAGGGAGTAGAACAGCTAAGGAAAAGGGGAAAAAAATGGCGGAAAAAATGGCGGATCGCGTTGTTTGGTGACCCCCGTGAAATGGTCGTTCGACCCCAAATGGGGTTGCGACCCACAGGTTGAGAACCGCTGATCTAACTATTCCTATTGAAAAACATTTGCTTAAAAAAAATCTTCATTTCCCTTTGGTGAAATGGTGGGCAGAATTAGCCTGCAATACTGCCATGGTGTCACAGTGGTTAGAATGAAGTATTGCAAGCTAATTCTGCCCACAGCCAGGTGTTTGATCTTGACCAGCTCACAGTTGATTCAGCCTTCCGTCCTTCTGAGGTCGGTAAAATGAGAACCACCAGATAGTTGGGGGCAATATACTGATATTGTAAACCACCCAGAGAGTGCTATAAAGCACTATGGAGTGGTATATAAGTCTAAGTCAGTGGTTCTCAACCTTTTTAATGCCGCAACACCCAACTGGTCGTAAGTTGAGGACTAAACCAGTTGTAAATCGAGGACTACCCAACCGGTTGTAAGTTGAGGACTTTCCCTGCCCAGGAGCACCGCGCATGCGTGGTGCCGCCCCCTGCGCTGGCCGAGGCGTAGCTGGCAAGCGGCAGAGACGGAGCAGGCCGACCACCGGCTGGGCCACCAGCTGGCCCAGCCCAAGGGAGGTAAGGCACGTGCCGGAAAAGGGGAAAAAAATGGCGGACAGCCTTGCTTGCCGACCCCCATGAAATGGTCGATCGACCCCAAATGGGGTCACGACCCATAGGTTGAGAACCGCTGGTCTAAGTGCTATTGCTGTTTGTCCAAGGAATTAAGAGTCAAGATTATGGATTTGCTACACTGTACAGTCCAAAGGTTTTCCCTCTGCAAGCTCCTTTGATAAGATAATGATCCTTTTAGTTGGATTTCTCTGACGTAAGTCTATAGAAGCTCAACTAAAAGGATGATATGTATAACAAACTTGGGCTACAGCTATCCCAAGACATCTCAACTCTTAAAAGATTTGGCTCCTGTTCAATTTCAGCCAAGTCTTTATTTTTAGAAGCAACGTTCCCAAATACCTTCTGCATGATTCCTTGATAAATATGCTCAGTTGGAAACTGTAGCTGATTTTATCTTTCTGCCTAGCTGGAGTCAGTGTTCTTCATGTGCACAATAATTGGGAATTTTCAGAGATTTTAAAGGAGGCTTGGAAAGGGATATATCCTTTCCCGCATATATGAATCAAACTGGATTCCTACACAAGTAAGGTAACAATTATTGTTATTACTGATATTATAATCAGTGGTGGTGAAGGTAAATATATAAAACACATAACATAGAGTGTGAGGCAAGGTTTTAGAAGCAGATGCTCATTGTCACAGCTTAGTTTCTTTCTTTGGGAAGATAGACTGATGAAATAGTAAAAAACAGTTTTTCCACAATAAATCAAATGTGAAAAATACAGAATCAAGAGCTATGAATGTCACCAATTGTTTCATGAAATCTTCTATTCTCTTTACCTAGCCTAACTCCAGTTCTTCAAAGCCTTTCTAGCAAATTCCCCAAGATCCTTGAAATAGAGGCGTCAAATGTTAAAACAGGACTTCAAAGTGTAAAGCCTTTATTATGCCACTAAAATGGCACTTTCGTTTTTTTAAAAAAACTTGCTGCAGAGTCATCATTTGCTGTGCTTAAGCTGTTATTAACACTCCCTGCACAATAGCATAGAAAAAGTAAGAGACATTGTTGTGGCTAGAATAGAAAATTAGACAGAGAAAAACAGTTGACTATCAAAGTGCTGTTTTTTTAAAAAAAAATAAATAAATCAAGGTTTTCAAAATTAGTAAGAATCTCTTAGACAAATAAGATGTGAGTGAGGTATTTGAATGAGATAGGTAGGGTTTGTTTATTTGAAGGAACTAAAATCTTTCCTAGCTCAGAAGAATAATGGAAGCCACCTCATATGTTGAGCCAGGATTCAAAGATCAGCAACACTTACCAAGGCCACCAGCTACTATCACACGTCCACCAAGATGGCCAGCTACGAAGTCAGCCCTTTTGTCTCTCATACGGATGGCACGGCTCAGCCGACTCCAGGATCCTAATTGGAAAATTGGAGACAGAAAGAACTTAGCTTCATCTAAAGGGAGAGGAAGATAATAAGGCTACAGGTCAGGAATTCTGGGAGTTGAAGTCCACAAGTCATAAAAGGCCCAAGTTTTAAGATCCCTGCTATAGGTACTCCTTGACTTATAACCATTCATTTAATGATGGTTTGAAGTTACAATGACCTCGTAAAAAGTGATTTATGACCTATCCTCAAAGTCACAACCATCACACACACATAATCATGGGGCTGCTACCTGGTGTTTGGCAACCAGCTCAAATTTATGATGGTTATAGCATCTTGTGGTCAAGGGATTGCGATTTGTAACCTTCCCACTCATCTTCTGTCAAACAAAGTCAATTAGGGAAGCTAGATTTGCTTCACATGATTCACTGTCAACCATGTGATTCACTAATCAACCATCTGATTCAATTAAGTGCAGTAAGTCAGTTAACGACCATGGTAAAAAAGGTTGTAAATTTGGGGCCGGTGGTGTGATGACTTGCTTAATGACTGCATTGCTTAGTGACCAAAATTCCAATCCCAACTGGGGTCGTAAATGGAAAACTATCTGTACTTAGCTTTGACAAATAGAAGCAACGAGAACTCCTTTTTCTAAGTCTGGAAACTAAGCAGGAGTGGATCTCGTTAGCAACAGCACTAGCACTTAGACTTATATACCACTTCACAGTGCCTCTCCAAGCGGTTTACAAAGTCAGCAACTTGACCCAACAATCTGGGTCCTCATTTTACCGACCTCGGAAGGATGGAAGGCTGAGTCAACCTGGTTACTTCTTGAATTGATAACAACCATCACAGGGGTAATGGTAAACTACTTGCAGGTTTGCTGAATAAAATCTCGTGATTGTATCAACGAAGTCACCAAGAACTGAACTTGCCTTACGTCTCCAACGTAAAAGGCATTTATTATTATTAAGACGCCTGAATTCAAAAATGGAATTTGACCGGAGGGTGACTGCCTGTTCTAATCTGGGTGTGTGAAACTATGGATTACAGATAGTCCTTGATTTACAACTATTGGTTTAATGATTGTTTGAAGTTACAATGTCAGTAGAAAAGAGGGCTTATGACCATTTTTCATACTTACCATCTTTGCAGCATCCCCATGGTCATGTGATCAAAATTTGGACTCTTGGCAATTGGCCTGTATTTGTCCCAGGTTCATGTGATCACCTTTTGCGACCTTCTGACAAACAGTCAATGGGGAAGCTGGGTTCACTTAACCGTTTTAGTATATCAATAAATCAACAATTGCAGTGATTTAACAACTATGGCTAGGAAGGTCATAAAACGGGCAAACTCATTTAACAACTGTCTTGCTTAGCAACAGAAATTTTGGGCTCAACTGTGGTCGTAAGTTGAGGACTGCCTGTACTCAGTCCTTATCCCTTTATTCTGCCTATTAACGAGACATAATAACCATCATCTTAGGACTCACAGTTCTTCCACTTAACTTGTATAATTACATCTCTAGTTTACCTTCCTCTAAGTCAAACATCTCCACGGTGTTGACAAAGTGGGGCCGGGAATAGAAGTTATGGGGGCCGGGCTGCTGCAGTCCTCCCAGGCTGAAGAAGCAACCCTCAGCCATGGCACAGCTGGCAAAGGCACGCCGACTGGGCACACTGGGGTAGCGTGTCCAGCTTCTCATTTCCAGATCAAAGGCTTCAAAGGCTGTGACGGGCAGCTTGCCTTGTCTTCCTCCTATGGAAAATGGACACAGCATGACTGCAAGTCACTCATGAAGTATATAGCAAAGTGTAGCAAACTGAAGAAATATACAACAGATGGCACGGTTCTAGAGCCAAGCAAGTTAAGATCTTGTGAAAACAAGACAAAAGCCACCAAGCTCAGTTCAGCTTCAAAATGTTTACCAGGATCAAAAACAGAATAACAGAGTTGGAAGGGACCTTGGAGGTCTTCTAGTCTAACCCCCTGCTCAAGCAGGAGACCCTATACCAGGGGTGTCAAACTCAATTTCACTGAGGGCCACATCAGCATTGCGGTTGCCCTGGGGGGCCGGGTGGGTGCAGCCTACTGGTGGGCGTGAATGGAGTGGGTGTGACCTACTGGTAGGCGTGCCCAATTTGCGTCAAGGGTGCCTATGGGGGCCTGGGCAGGAGTGGGACAGATTGAGAGTCTCTGGTAGAAGGGGGTGGGACCGGGGCAAGTGCCAAGGCACGGTCCACCGGGGCAAGTGCCAAGATGGCCACCACAAAATTGTACATTGGCTCCCGGCTGGCCTGAGCCAGGGCCAAGGCAGCGGGGCCCATTCCCTCACTGTTTCCAGGATGGCTTCGCAGGCCACATGAAACCACTTCGCAGGCCGCATCCGGCCCCCATGCCTTGTGTTTGACATGTCTGCCCTATACCTATACCAGTGATGGCGAATCTTTTAGAGACTGAGTGCCCAAACTGCAACCCAAAATCCATTTATGTACCGTCGGGTGCTGGGTGGGCGTGGCCCATTGGCTGGGTGTGGCCAATTGGGTGGATATGGCCCATTGAGTGGGCATGGCTACGGTGGTAACGACAGACTGGGTAGGACTAAAAAGTTCAATCAATCAATTCCAACTTTACGAGATCTTTTTTTTTTCCCCGCGAGAAGTTGAAGTTGATTGATTGAACTTTTTTTTTTTTTTTTTTTGCACATGGTGGTGGAGGCCTAAACCGAAAAGGTTTTATAAAACCCAGCTGAAGGCCTAGGACTGGGGTGAGGGCGCGCGTGCCCATAGAGAGGGCTCTGCATGCCACCTGTGGCACACGTGCCATAAGTTTGCCACCACGGACCTATACCATTCCAGACAGGTCTGTTTTTAAAAGCCTCCAGTGATGAAGCACCCACCCAACTTCTGAAGTCAAGCCGTTCCACTGGTTAATTGTTCTTACTCTCAGGAAATTTCTCCTTAGTTCTAGGTTGCTTCTCTCTCTGATTAGTTTTAGATCAGATATGATTAGTTTTAGATCAGATTTGCCTGGCTGCACACCCACAATTAATGAATATGTGAACATTTCCCCAAACTGTCATCTGTAATGGAAATCTTTTCCATTCCATAAAGAACTGTGAACGACCCAAGATTAAGCCACAAAGCAGGTATAAAACATTATAGTGATTCCTTGCTGAAAGATAATATGACCCATTAACTTATTAAAAACAATGACAGCCATGTTGGTTCATGAAGGAAAGAAATGTTGCAACTAAAATAATACAAAAATGTCTACAAGCTTGTGAGTACTCCAGAAATCTTTCATCAAGGCATGATGTTCCAAAAAGCAGACGATAGGAAAGAAGCAAGAAAGTCTAGCTTTTTTTCCCCCCCATCTCCTGTTTGTTCACAATATTTTGTGCCGGAAGGATTCTGGAGAATTTGAAAGGCTGCACTTTTCTTTGTGTCTCTTTCATTGGCCTCAATAAAGGCTTGACCTCATTATGGGTGCTGGATTTCTATCTCAGGATAACAAATTTTGGATAAGCATTTATAAAATGGCATTTGAGCATCTCTTGACATGTACAGGTCAATTTAAGACTACAATTGGGACCAGAATTTCTGTGGCTAAGTAAGTTGTTAAGTGATTTCATGACCTTTTTTTTTGCCACGGTTGCTAAGTGAATCACTGCAGTTGTTAAGTGAATCATGTGGCCATTAAGCAAATCTGGTCTCTTTCAATGCCTCCAGAAGTTGTGAGTGCTCCAACACTGGAAGTTTTTAAGAAGAGACTGGACAGCCATTTGTCTGAAATGGTATAGGGATTCCTGCCTGAGCAGGGGGTTGGACTAGATGACCTCCAAGATCCCTTCCAACTTTTTTGTTATTGTTATATTTTGTGGAAAAACAACTGGGAAGGTCGCACAGGACAATCACATGACCCTGGGACACGGCAATCGTCTTAAATACATGCCAGTTGCCATGTGCCCAAATTTTGATCACATGACCCTAGGGAATGCTGCGACCATCATAAATGTGAGGACCAGTTGTAAGTCATTTTTTTTTTGGTGCCAATGTAACTTTGAGCAGTCTCTCTAAACAAACTGTTGTAAGCCAAGGGCCACCTCTAATTGGAATGTGGAGACTCCAGATCTCCACAGATCTGTGGCTGGGAAGCTTCTGTGACCAGAGTTTGCAGTTAAGTAATCCAACTTAATCCACAGCTAGACCCTGTTGGCTGAATCCTTACCCATCACGTAGATCTTGTTCCCATGCAAGAAAGTAGAAGCCCCGTAGCAAGGTGTTGGCATGGATGGTAAAGACTGCCACTGATCCTTAGCTGGTTCATACAGTTGCAGGAGGGCTTGTGGAGATGTGTCTGCACCCATCCCTCCTAAAGCATAAACCAGTCCATCTAAGAAAAGGAGAAATGGGTGCATGTAAAAGGGACGAGTGATGGAAATTTAAAAAAAAAAAAGCATCTTGTAATTCTACCTTACGGTGCCAGGATTTTGGGATCCATCTTTCTGTTTTTCTCTGTCTTTGTTTTTTATTCTTACTTAAGTTCTTATGGATGTTATCTACTCTGAAGTCGGTCTTTGCAAAGGGCAGGATGTACAATCAATCAATCAGAAAGTAAGTAAGTAAGTAAATAAATTGAACAAAATAATAATTAACAATACACGAAGGAAAGATTCAAGAGACTTTAGGCTTAATGCAAGTTATAGCCTTACCAAAATTACTGAAGAAACTCAAAGCAGAGAAAAGTGACAAGAGAAGCTATCCCTTTACAATTAACGGCCAATGCTACAGCAAGGCAATGCAGCAAGTTTACATAATCACTTTTTTTGTCATATTTATAATAGGCTGATCCTACAGCATGCCATCATTCTTCTGATTCTTCCACTCAAAATTTAGCTTTCTCATCCTGGTGCCTTCCTACTCGGCTGGACCAACCCCCATAGCCACCATGGCCATGGAGTTGAACATCTGCTTGTGATTGATTGAAATGGCTAGTGAGGTGTCGAATTCAGATGGAAATGAAATTCTGGATCTTTTTGAGATTATGTGGGGGAGGGATTAAAATCTATATGTAGAATTACAGGTGCTAGGTAATAGATCATCAGAATAAGCCCCTTCAGATATTTCTCTAGCATTTAAAGGACAGTTTCTATTAATAAATGACTAGCAGAAAAACTTGAGATCTCTCCTGTGCATGAATTAGAATACTAATTGCTAGAATTAAATATTACCTTCTTGTTCTCACTGGCCTGGATACCTGCATAATTAAAAGCCCACATGGGCCTTTTAATGCACAAGGTGCACAGTTCATTGCAGCAATTTCATGGGGAAGTCAAGAAATATAATCCTTCAGTCATCAGCCCATATTTTATCTTCTATCAGAATAAAGCATGATTTGCCTTTCTTATAGTCTAAACTGCTCAAGGGCAGAATAATAGCTCTTCCCCTCCCCTAATCTATGTTGCTTTTATTAAGGCAATTCATATTTTAGAGCCCTCAATAGGAAAACTGTTTCAATTTCTTGACTTGTCGCTTTGCTTTTTTTCTGATTCAGAGCCCCATCATTAGCCCCAAACTGGAGATGTACTGAAATATAATTTTTATTACTCAGAAAATACAGTGGCTGGTGCTACCTTAAGATGGTAAAACCTGTAATGAACCAGGGGTAGGCAACCTTGGCTCTTTTATGACTCATGGACTTCAACTCCCAGAATTCCTGAGCCAGCATGGCTCAGCTTGGAAACCTCTCCCTTTCCCCTCAGCATGGCTGGCTCAGGAATTCTGGGAGTTGAAGTCCATGAGTCATAAAAGAGCCAAGGTTGCCTACCCCTGGTCTAGATAATTGTGAATGGAATGCTATCCTCTTCCTTTCCTTCTTGAACTGCACCTTTATGTGATGCACATTAATCTCTTCCTTAGGCAAACCATCATCCTGTGATCTGAGGAAGATTCCCTGGACTTCCCATATCTCATATTAAAGTCTTTGACATAATTCACATTTCTTAAAATTGGTAACCTAGGAATAAGATATTCTCATTATTACATGGTCATTCTACACAAATAGAATGACCAAATCAGCAACTGTTCATAAACACTGTTTCTAATTATCAACAATCATTCCTCCAAAATGATCTGATAGGTCAATATCTGAAAACAACATCCTCCAGAACTTTGAGACTCCAATTCTCACCAGTCCTAGCTAAATGTCAGAATTGATAACAGAAGTAGCCCAATACAACTGAAGATGGCCAGGTTAAGATACAGAATCAGTATTTTAACCAATGATTTGAGGTGGATTTGGTTCCAACAGTAAATCTCGGAAAATCAATAGGCAATAACTTCCTTTTTTATTTTATTTTATTTTCCCTTCTTTCTCTTTCTTTCTTTCTTTCTTTCTTTCTTTCTTTCTTTCTTTCTTTCTCTTTCTTCCTTTCTTTCTCCCTCCTTCCCTCTTTTCCTTCCTTCCTTCTTTTCTTTTCTTTTCACATTTGGAACTTCCCCCACCTCCCACACAGAAGGACTCTTATTTCTCAGCAATGGAAGAAACAAATTTCGGAAAGAACTCAAGGGGTATTTTCCTCATGACTAATTGTGCCCCTTGGTTGTTGTTGTTCAGTTGGTAAGTCATGTCCGACTCTTCACAACCCCATGGATCACAGCATACCAGACTCCCCTGAACTCAACTCTTTCAGAGTTTGTCCAGATTCATGTTCATGGCACTGAAGACACTATCTAACCAAACCCTGCCCATGCTCCGTAAAAAAATCTTCCTCAAACTTCCTCCATGATTGACATAATCTTGTCAAGAATACTGGGCCCAGCAGTCTGCCATTCCAGAATACAACTTGTTGAAGAAGGCTTGCTTTGTTCCCTGTACAGCCTGGCATCCTACCCTACTCACAATCGCCTTAAGACTCAAGCTAGCTGTGCTCTGATAAGACTCTAGCAACTGCCTCACGTGGGTACCTGCTTCTTTTAACAAATATAACACAGGAACAACACTGGGATACCAGGCTATCACAACTAATTATATTCGCCATGTAGTATCCCTGGAGACACCATGGCAACCCAACCATGCTGCCAAATTCTGCTTCCACCATAGCCTCCCCACCACTCTGCACATAGTAAGGGAGGGTGGGAATACAAGAGAAGGTTACAGCTTCCAATTTGAGCGGAGGGACACAAAATTATTAGTTAACCAGATCCAGAATTTCTTGCAGATCTTAATTGATTTGCATCTGTTGTTAGCCTCCTTTTCATTATCTCACATTGCCAAATATGACATCAAGAAGATACAACAGGCTTCCTTGTCTGAACAATCACCTCTAACTCCAGATCTGGATGAAAACCTACAATTGTGATCTCCAACAATGGCTCACAAGCTCCTCTTTGTTCCACCAAGACAGTAGAGGCACACCAAGAAAGGCAGAATCCTTCAGGCACCTGCTGGATGAAAATTCCCTATTTCTTGACAAGATTAAAAAAAAATCAGATAATGAGGGAAAGGCATAAGCAGCCAATCTTATTTTAGAGAGTTATGACAGAGATGTTTAAAAAGATAAAACGCCCTGAGGGAAATCACTGCAGCCAATTTCTGGAACCGATATGCGGTAATTAAATCTTGCATAATTAAATCAAACAGATAAAATGAATCAGTTATATAACCGCTCATATGAACAAGCCATTCAGGCAGCTTCATTCTTTTTCTGGCTGAAGGCATGACAACAGGATCTATTGATACACACGATCTGGGTGTAATGTAAAAAATTACTGAATGGGGTGAAGAGAATGAATGATTCTGACCAATTAGGACTGACACAAATCAGTGGCAGAGGACCTGCTTGGCAGATTTATTTATTTCAGCAATTTATACTGCTGCCCATCTCAACAGCAGTGACCCCCCCCCTACAGGATGATGCACAGAGGATTAAAACTTAATACAACCAAGAGAACTTTATATCAGTATTAATATTTATAACATGTAATATATGTTGGGCCTGAACAATCCAGTATTAATATGTAAAAACCAATCAAACAAATCCACCAACAAGGCTGATTTAACCTCCTGGTCCCAATGCCAGGGTAAATATCCAGGTCTATAATGTCAACAGGAAAATCAGGTCTCTCCAGATTTCTGGGGCGAGGGGAGGAGATACTGTTTCACGGGGCAGACGCTTCAACACACAGGTCACAGCTCCTTGGTCCCACAAGAAGACATTTTCTAACGGAAAGAACACAGAGGATGCCAACCTTGGTGCGTGAGTGGAAACAGCTGAATAGTTTTGCAAGAAAGCAGAATGGGCAAGGTGCAGATCTCATCCTCCAAAAAGTGTCAGCTGGCAGGGACCAGAATATGAGCTTTTTCCACGATTTCTGGTTAATTGTCCTCACTGTTAGGAAGTTTCTTCTTAATTCCAGGTTGCTTCTTTCTTTGATTAGTTTCCAACCATTGTTTCTTGTCCTACCCTCTGGTGCTCTGGAGAATAATTTGACCCCCCTCTTCTTTGTGGCAGCCCTTCAAATACTGGAATACTGCTATCATGTCACCCCTATTTTTCTTTTCTTTAGACTAGCCAATCCCAAATCCTGCAGCAGTTCTTCATATGTTTTAGTCTCCAGGCCTTTGACGTTAAAGTCCTACAAACTGAGAAAAGTGGTTTGGGATAAAGATCAGTCTCTTCCCATCTTTCTTAAGTCTGGAGCTGGATGGAAGCTCTGCCTTCTAAATTTGGCACCATCTACTATAGATCTGTGGACTTTAATCAAGGCTGCCATATTTGGGCTCCATATCTCTTTGCTGCCCTCTAGTGATAATTGTATTTCAGAGAGCTTCCAAAGCACAGCGCAGCTCTTTTCATCTCCCCTCTTCAAATCTACTACAGAGGAAGAATGTCGAGAGCGGATGTAAAATCTGAACCACCCTTTTGCAGCTGCTACTTTTCATCTCCCATTCTCCATCAACAAGCTTCAAAGACGGAATTGCCTAGGAACTTGTGCTGAGAAAAAAGAGGCACTGAAAGACTTTAGAAGTGGAAGAATCCGACTGATGACAACACTAGTGTGACTACCAAAGTGTACAGTAATTTCTTGAGTTATTTTTGTAATAACTCTTTATCTGCTTCCAGAGATCCCAAAGCAATACATGTGGCTTTTAACCTCTTACAACATTATTGACTTCCAGCTGCCAAAAAAACCCATGCAATCCTAGGCTGCATTACCAGAGGGTTAGAATCAAGGTCAAGTGAAGTGTTAGTACCACCTTGGGAAGACCACACTTAGAATATTGCATCCAGTTTTGGTCGTCACAATATAAAAAAGATGTTAAGTGCAGAGAAGAACAACAAAGATGGTTGGGGCTAAAACATATGAAGAATGGTTGCAGGAATTGTGGGT